GTTTTGTGTAACAAACAGAGGTGTGGACTTGAGTCACATGACTTGGACTTGAGTCAGACTCGAGTCATTTTTTTAATGACTTCTGACTTGACTTGATAAAATCTATGGACTTGAACGCCAATGACTTGCGACTTGAATCGACTTGCATCTGTTGACTTGATGATGACTTGAGCATATTTGATATTTTAACACTAAAGTGGCACGACATGGACAAAAATCATGAATCATTCGTGGTTCTGTGTTTGACGTTGTACTGCTTAATGCAGCAGCACTTTGTTTATAATCAGTTTCAGTTACACTTCCTTCATGTTTCAGCAAATAAATGAAGCTCTATGAAGCTTTATTTCTGGAATTTATTTATTATCATTATCCTTAAATTGAAGTTGGACAAATGACTTGATTATGACTTGAAAATTCAAAGTTAAGGACTTGGACTTGACTGGACTTCCAAATCATTGACTTTGAACTTGACTTGGACTTGGCTGTCTTTGACTTGGACTTGACTCAAGACTTGACTGGAAAGACTTGTGACTTACTTGTGACTTGCAAAGCAGTGACTTAGTCACACAGCTGGTAAAAACAAACAATTGTCTGTTCTTCTAGTATCAAGCAGCTCTAATTTCAATCATAAAATATTTATTTTGTCATAAACTTTAACAAGTAAGTCTCAAGTCGTTATCTGCAAGTCCTGAGTCAATTATAAAGTTAAAGTCCCATTAGTTGTCACACACACACTGATGTGTGTGCAAAATTTGTTCTCCGCATTTGACCCATCCCCTGGGGGAGCGGTGAGCTGCAGACACAGCCGCTCTCGGGAACCATTTGGTGGTTTATCAAGTCTGAAAGCTCAGGATTCAAGTAATTTTGAGTCATTTTTTAAAACCAACGTTGTGCCGGTGTCGGTACAAGATCTGCTCGGGTGCAAAATCTGCTCGGGGTCTGTCGACTGCCGATGACGTCAAAGTAGTTGATTGGCTGAGCATGAACCTTATGGAATTACGTAATCACGTTACGTTGTTGTCACGTTACGTTGGTCCAGGCAAATCCTTCTGTTGGAAAGATGGACAACTTTTACAAAGAAATCCATCATTACCTCTTTGAAAATACACTTTTAGCATAGAGCTGCATGTATATTAGGGCTGAACGATTAACTGCATGTGCAATTAAATAGCGATGTGACAAAAGGAGATTTTCTAATCGCAAAGGCTGCAATTTGGCAGCGAGTGGTTAGCGCAATGCTAATATATGTGGGAAAAACCCATAGGAATGCTAATGCTAATATCACCGATGGCATTCTTACAAATTATGAATTAGAAACGTGCCAAATGATTACATTTGGAGTCTAATAGAAAGTAAAACTACCATCAATCAAATAAGTACAGACAAGTATTTTAGTAAAGCCAGAAAACTTTTAACTCCAGAGTTTTGGCTAGCAGCTATGAGCGTAACTGAACTACGCATGGACAAGACGTCAAAAACTCTAAACAAAATACTTCAATAAATGGGACACACTTCTTTCCTGCAAATACAATTTCACAGGTGTTGCTAATACCTATTATCCTTCAAGGGATGTGCTAAAAGAGGCGTTCAACATTATGAATACAATATAGTGTTTTATTTTACAAATACCATTATAAACACAAACTTACGTCTTAAGAAACATTATTTTAATAACGAAACTGCTAAATTCTTTCCAACAGTATAGATGTGTAGTGTATTTTGTCCGAGTGGGTTTGCCGTACTTTGACGTCATCGGCAGTCGAAGGACCCCGAGCCGATTTTGCACCTGAGCAGATCTTGTACCGAGACCTGCCTTTTGTCATCCTTTCCACAGCTGGCATGACTACAGTCAATATGATTCATGCCTCGTGATTGACCAGTATGTTTTGGATACCCCTGAATAAACTTTAATGCTCTCAACACGTTCTCAACAAGTAAACAGCACTAACTTAATTTTAGGATACACTATAAAAACACTGGCCAAAGTTCAGTCAGTTAGAAACAAGAATAAAGAACCCACTAAGTTAATAAGCAGTCTGATAATCTTGAGTGTGATAAAAATGACATTTGGGAGCCATAATATTGTTTGCTGCAGCACCTTTTACAAAGAGAGTGTTAGGCTGGCTCTCTCTCTCTTTTTAAATCTGGTTCATTTGATTGGCTGTACTGCAGCTCTCTCACACACACACTACTCCTCAGAAGGATGTCTCTGCTTAAAGGCATATGCAACTTTTTCATATTTTTATCTAATTTTCTTGTGTCAGTTTGTGGTGAAACGACCCTTTACTGGGTTAATGAAATGTCACTCAGACTCTGACTCAAGTCCTCACCTCTGCCCTTTAGGCTCTGTCCAGGCCAGGCAAACCTTGCATGCTAGGATTGAGAAGAACTAATTATAAATGCAGGCTGCATGGTGGCGCCGTTGGTAGCACTGCCGCCTTGCAATGAGAAAGTTACAAGCTAAAACCTGGACTGCTGCCTTTATGCTCGGACCAAATGCATTCATATTAGCCTAAATGGGAACTCTAATTAGGCCCTGGGTATTATATGTGACTGGTTGTTTGTTTAGGTGTGGCCTTGCAATGGACAGACGACCTGTCCAGGTGTCCCCGACTGCTGGAGTTAGGCACCAGCTCTCCATGACCATAGTGAGGATAAAGCAAATCATTATGAGTGAGTGACCAGTCAGAACAAGTTGAAGTATTTCTAATTCCACCAACCTGCTTTCAAACATTAGTCATTTTCTGGACAAACGCGTCACCTGTTTAGGAACATCCCACACTAAAGCTGTTGAATCCTTAGAGAACTTCTAATGAGGTCCAAGAAACTCTTCTGCAGGTGAAATTGGTCCTCAATGCTGACAAGACTAAGCTAATGCTGTTTTCAAACTCTAAAAAAGACCTCTAAGTATGCCTTCAGTGACCACTCTTGAGGGAAACATCATAGAGGTGGTCCACACATACAAATACCTTGGTGTCTGGCTCGATGACTCCCTCTCCTTCAAGCCTCATGTAGATAATCTTGTGAAGAAACTCAAACTCAGACTGGGATTCTTTTTTCTAAATAAACTGTGTTTTATTTTTGAGACAAAGAAACGACTAGTTACTGCAACATTTCTGTCTATTCTGGATCATGGAGACCTTTTGTGTACGAACGCCTCAACACAGTGTCTTGGTACGACTGATGTGGTTAATCATGCCTCGCTGACGTTTATTACTGTCGACCATTGACCCATCATTGTGACTTGTGTTCTCCAGCGGGATGGCCTGCTTTGTTCACCAGGAAGTTGGGACATTGGTACACTTTCATTTATAAGGCCATGCTTGGATTACTACCCAACTACATCTGTAACTTAATCTCAGAAGAGAAGTGTAACTTTGTTACTTTGTGTTCTGTTTGCGCTCACCAAACTCGGCTAAAGGGCTTTTGTTCACTCTGTTCCTTCAGCATGAAACAGGCTGCAGGAAAACTGGACATTAACTGATCATATCTCCTTGAATATATTTAAAACCAGACTGAGAACCCTTGAGATGGATTCCATGTGTTGTAACTGCCTTCTGTATTTTTGTACATAACATGTCTGTGTAGCAGAAAAATTTTGTAACTAACTTTTGCTGCCTCTTGGCCAGGACTCCCTTGAAAATTTGTTTTTTAATCTCAGTGGGACCTTCCTGATTAAAGAAAAAAAAAGAAAGTCCTCAAAGCTATTTCCTACCATTACCCTCTTGCTTCTTGAACATATTTTCTAAGTCAACTTAAAAAAAAAATTGCCTTGATAGGATGTTGGGATAGAAACAAGACAGGCGTTCATCTTTATGCATGAAATATTTTGTTCTGAAATAATTTGTGATTAATTCCGTAGTGTGTGAAGTGCTTTGAGGCTAATTTAGTGCATCATGTTTTTGGCCAGCAGGTCTGCTCAAAAGCACCAAAAGGCTCATCTACTTTAATGAGCTTCCTCATGAATTGGAAGCTCTATGATACATCGCCTAATACTGTAACCCAAAGGGAATTAGTAGGAAAGCATAAACCAACTATCCAGTGAGTCTAGTAGAGAAACTGAATGGACACCAATGAACAGAATTCATTTTATTGATGGAAAACCTCCATGTGATGCTTTTCTCACAAAGGAAACAAGATATAACAAATTAACACAACTCAGAAATGGCCTCTATATTCAGTTGTCAATAAGTTTTTAATTGTTCAGCAATCTGTAATGAAGCAAAGCGCATTAAAATATGTGCTCGATGCTGTGATTAGGTGGTTTAATCAGAGATCAGCAGGTGTGGGAAAACATTCAAATAAAAAGGTCAAAGATGTTTTCTTACTTCAGAAAATTCTTTTCAATGTTTTTTCAAAAAAGTTTGGGTTGACTGAGTGCTGAAATGTTTACTAGAAGAGAGTTGGGGAGTTATTCTTTCTTTGTATTTTTATATGTTGATATGGACATTATTGTAGACAAAGTACATTCATGTTTATGCATGTGGAATTCAACAATAGAATCACAAATACCAACTTTATAGCATTACAATACACCACACCATGTGTACTATACTATAACTGTACTATACTATACTGTACTATACTATACTATACTATACTATACTATACTATACTATAACATTACTACACTATACACTATGCCACACTATAATATATTACACTACACTACGCTATACTAGACTAAACTATGCTTTGCTACATTATAAGATTACACTACACTATACAGTATACTGCATCACACCATGCTACACTGTACTATATTATACTATATTATACTATAATATAGTATAAAATAGTATAGTATAGTATAGTATGGTACAGTATAGTAACTATATTATACTATACAATGCTTTGCTACATTACAACATTACACTACATTATACACTACAAAACGCCATGCCACACTATACTATATCACACTATGCTATACCAATGCTATGCTACATTATAACATTACATTAATTACACTACACTACATGCCACGTCACACTAAACTAAACTAAAATCAACTGTACTGATATACTTTGCTATGATTTACTACATTTCACAACACAACATTGTATGACATTACAATATGTTACACCACGCTACACTACACTACGCTGCGCTATACAATACTATACTATACTATACTATACTATACTATACTATACTATACTATACTATACTGTGCTATGCTATGCTATGCTATTGTTTACTATGCCATTCTTTGCTATGCTTTGCTATACAGGGATTATCATTTATGTTGTTGGTTCAGTTCTAAATTATCCTGGTCCAGTTTAATTCTGCATTAACTTAAACGCCTTGTCCACACATTCAAGGCCATGCATAACCTCGCCCATGATCTCCTGAACTCTGACAGATCTGGATCCCTGCCAACCCTCCACGTCCTCCACCCATGTTTCTGTATCTCCTGCTCATCTACCATAGGGCCCAGAGCAATCAATCGCTCTGCCTCTCACCTCTGGTGTTCTCTCCCTCCAGACATCAGAACAACTGACTCTCTTCCACACTTTAAGCCACAAACCCAGTGCTTTCTTCTTATGACTATCTGTTAACCTGTCTTCATTGTTTAATTAATAAGGTGCTTTTATATTATAATTCCTTATTGTTTTTTGTTGCCATCTTTCATTTTATTTAATTTTAAGGTGTCCTTGAATATCATGAAAGTGTTATTATTATCTTGTTTGGACCTTGATACTGTAACACTGGCTATATCTGAGCTTTTTTGAGCCAACATGACTTCATCATGAGGTCATTTACTGTTTTACACATGGACATGCCACACATTTCAGCCTAAGCCCCTTATTAGTGTGAGTTAATGAAATGTCGGCAGCATTTCTAAGGTTTCCATTCATCTGACCAAAAAATTGACCACGCCACGCTTCATTAGACTATTTGAATCAAAACCTTTTGCAGTCTTTAGTCATTTAAAGTACCTTCGTGACCACGCAGCAAGGAAATCAGCCTACAAACTTTGCTATTGGTCTCCTGTAAATTACCGGGGGGTTCTGATTGGTTTGCAGTTTGAGGTAAAGCTTTTGACCAGCCAATAGACTGTAATCAAGTTCACTGAGTTGGTGGAAAAACTCCTCAGGGATAGCGTATAAAACCATGAGCTGTGAGAGATCTCTGCAGATGCTCAACTCAGCTCATCATTTACTTCTTCATTCTTTTCCAGAAGAAGATCTAACGTTCTAAGGTTAGTAGAGCTCAAAGCATTTGTGTTTTTATTTATTTTTTATTTTCACATTTAATCACAAAATATGAAATATGATGCTGTGGATTTTAAAGGAGATACCCAATAAGGTTCAGGAAATACTGAAAGTTTGTTTAGATTTTTTTTTCATCTTCTGACCTTGCTTCACTTCCACAGAGAAACGTGACCATGCTCAAACTCAGGACACTCCTTCTGGCTTGTGCTCTGATTTTTTCTCAGACAGACATCCTACAGGCTGCTTCTTCCAGGTGAGTGTTTTTATTTCGACAACCTGCTCGTTTTTCTACACTCACATTGTTGTTTCAGAGGCAGAGAGGCCATTTGTCTAAGTGAACGTTTGTTTTTAGGGAGTCCATATCAGATGGGGTCACATTATTGAACAAGGATGCTGAAACCTTACTCACAGCAATCAAGGAGTTCATGCAAATAACCTCCGGCGAATCGGCCCAACAAGCAGCTGAAGAGGAGAGGTATTAACAGCCTTTGATTTGATCATATTTCAGTTTTCTTTCTATTTTTGCAAAATCTCCACAGATCAAGCTTGGTTTTAATTTTAAAGTGACCTTTATGTTCTCTCTGAGCCTCTCAGTGCATGGAGTGCAGTTACCAATTTGTTCACTGATTCAGCTATTGGTTCTTTCACTATTACACGGCGTAAACAACTTGCATGTCGTTAAAAAAACATATCTAGCAAGAGTGGCAGATAACAGAATAATAACAGCTGAACAATCTTGTTATATCATCTGAATGACTTTTAACTGATCTCAATCACATATTATGCAAATGCATGATTGTCTAGAATAAGCATGTGTTTTTCAGCATGTAAGTTTCTTTCTTTTTATTTTTTGTGTGCATGTTTTCACCATCTAACAGTTTGGAAAGACCAGTGTCTAAGCGCTGCACCGGCTTAAGTACATGCATGTTGGGCAAACTCTCCCAAGATATTCACAAACTTCAAACCAGTCCTCGCACCAATGTGGGAGCCAAGACCCCCGGCAAGAAGAGAGGTCAATCCGAGCTATATGAGGGAGAAAGCAACTCGTTCAACCTGTTTCCATCCACTCTGTCTGTCTGAGCGAACATTTGCATGTTCATCTGCCTTTTTTCAGTCAAACTGCATGTGGAAAAAATGGACAAAAAATAAAAATAAGAAAATAAAATGGTTCTTTCTTTGATTTGATGACAAATTTAATAAAAACAAAATTAAAAAGCACATTTCCTGTTTGATAACCCTGATAACCCTAACCAAACCCATCCTAAAATATACATACTTTTTTTTTGCACAAAGCATTCAACAGGAACAATTTGTAAAAATTAAACACTAAAATTAATGTTTAAATGTGAGTAAGTGTGGATGTTTATGATACACAAACATTTATTTGACTGTAAACTAAAAAAAAAAGGGATTTGGGTTTTTTGGTTAATTTGATTCATTTCATCCCACCTACAACATCACAATTACCTGCCTTTCTTTTACCTGAAAGCAACTCAACGGCACAAAAGCGGGCGTGTAACACAGCCACCTGTGTGACCCACCGACTGGCCGACTTCCTGAGCCGGTCAGGAGGGCTGGGACACAGCAACTTTGTTCCCACCAACGTTGGAGCCCAGGCGTTCGGCCGACGGAAGCGCCACGGCTTTGTGCGAGTACAAGACCAGATACATGGTAGGAACTTATTCAGTCCAGCCCTAACCCTAACCACCCCCCCCAATAAATAAATAAATAAATAAATAAATAAATAAATAAAATGCCACTGAACATCAAGTGAGAAAATAAAAATAGGATGTTCACTATGAATATTTGAAAGCTTACTGTATTCACTATGTTTGACAAATGTAGTCAAAATTGTGAAAATCATATAATTATTGCTTTTAACACTAAAGAAATTCAAACATAATTTGCACAAGTTTGTAAAGTCTTTATGTCTATTGCTTGTTATAACAAGTCACACCTTCAAGTATTGTTTAAACTATTTAAAGTGGTTCCTTAGATTTTCTGAAGAGTTTAAAAAGATTCTCTTTGGACTTTAGCTGCTTTTTTAACTCCTTTTTTGTCTAGTTTTTGTACCTGATCACAGCAGAATGTTGAATAATATAATATGTTGGGCACGATGGTTAAGTTAGACATGAAACAACGTCTACAGCAGACAAATATCTGAAAGTTGAGGTTTCAAGACTTGTAAAATTTTTAAGCATAAATAAATAAATAAATAAATACCATCAGAGATCTAAAACCTATGGGATCCTTGATCCTCGTGCTAGGATAATTTTCTTCTTAAATCAAAAATGTGATTTAATTTATTATTTTAAAAATATGATTCCCATATTATGTTTGCCTTATAAAAACTTGCTAATAATCAAAAACCTTGAGACAACCTGACAAATGAATGAGAAAAATGTAAAAAACTGTTTATCGTTCCCAATTATGTTTGCAAACCTGCGAGTTTGTCAAACGCATTCATCGTGTCTTCTCTCCTTTCTTCAGGTCTCTGAAGGACGATTCTTACCCTCGAGGGACAGACCAGCATCACCATCCAGTAAAATAACAGTAGAATAAATATCACTGAACCCAAATGGTTCAGTTGCCAGACTTCATCGTTAGTAGAAAATGAGAAATAGTTTCTAAAAGGCCACAGATTAATTAGCTAAGAGGGATTAAAGTGGATTTCTGTTTTCTGTCTTTCTTGGTCTGTGGCTCACCTGAACGTCTGACCTGTGGCTTTAGTGCCGTGTGCCTCTGTGCTATACCAACATAACCCCTAAACAACTGACTTCCTGCTGCTTTGATGTTAAACACTCTGGTAAATGAGGTGAATAATTTACTCGTGAATCTAAATATTGGACAGATTGTGACTTGGGAGTAGAAATAAATGTATTTTCTTTACATCACGCTCTCTGGTGTGACTGTGTTATATGCATTTGTATTGTTAATTTAGAGCTTGGGTGTCATCTTAGACAACACCTTATCCTTCATTCCTCATATTAACAACACAATAAAAACTGCTTATTTTCATCTTCGCAATATCAATCGGCTCTGCCCCTCCCTCAGTCAGCACTCCACTGCTATTTTGGTCCACAGCCTGGTCACCAGTCGCATCGATTACTGTAACGCCCTCCTCTCTGGTCTCCCTCTAAAATCACTCAGCAAGTTACAATTAGTCCAAAATTCAGCTGCCCGGATAATCACCAAGACCTCCACTTTTGATCACATTACCCCTGTCCTGCAACAACTTCACGGGCTCCCTGTCAAATACAGAATTGACTATAAGATACTTCTTCATGCCTTTAAAGCCATCCATAATCTCGCTCCCCCATATCTTTCTAATCTCCTCCACATTGTCTCTCCCACTCGCTCTCTCCGATCATCATCTTCACCTTCCCTGTCTGTTCCTCGCACTCGTCTCAGTACTATGGGAGCCAGAGCTTTCAGCCACTCAGCTCCAAAACTCTGGAACACTCTACCGCCTGACCTCCGCAATATAAACTCCTTCTCAACCTTCAAGTCTCAACTCAAAACTCACATGTTCCGCCTGACTTACTCACTGTAACTGTCCTCCTTCCATCTACTCTTTTTAGTCTATTATCCATTGCACTGCTCCGACTCTACCCTTGGGAATTACTCTTAGCATTTATTTCTTGTTGTTTGTATTGCTTGCTTGTTATATTTTGTCTTCTACAGTGACCTTGAGAGCTTTGAAAGGCGCTTGAAATAAAATGTATTATTATTATTATTATTTTAAAAGACCCTGATAAATATATTTAACAAAACATTACACTGTTCTTCTAATTTCTGTTAATTTATGGGTCTTAATGATGAAATATCATGTCTAGTTTGTGTTCATCTCATGGCTCATGTTGCCCTCTGCTGACCACAGTAACTTTCTACTCATTCAATGATGCTGCAATACTGCAAAAGTCTCAATTAAAAGTTTTCCTCAGTTCTTCTTGCAGTGTTGTGTTTTACTTTGTTTGCAAGTACAAAAACTCGAATCAACTGAACACTCGTGTCTAACTTGATGAAATCCTGACATACAATAATTAAAAAACGTTCCAGAAATGGATCGAAGCGTCTCCTGTGGAAACGCGAGGCAGAAAATAGACATTTCCATCAGGTTATTATCAGGTTTATCAGTAAACCGTGACCTCTTGTCATCTCTGCAGTTGTTCATTAACTTCAGCCAGTCAGAAGAGGATGTAGAACCCTAAATACAATAAATTTGTGCAACAGACGACTAAAGACGAGACATCTGTTTATTGTGTTATCTAGTCAGGGAACAGCAACCGTTTGTTTTTCCTGTAGACACATCAAACACGTTACTGTTTTACATGATGTTATATTTAAAACAGTAAAATGTTCATAAATCTACTTTTAAGTCCTTGTGATGTCATCCTATCACTGTTTATTAAACCTGTTACTTGTTTTTGGGATGAAGTTAAAACTTCATTTCATATCAAAGTCATTTTCTTTTGACGCCACCTGTAACACTGAAGCATTAAACGTAGCATCACCTGAACACGTGGTCTTCTCACCTGTCCGACAATCTACCCATCTGACCATACAGCACTGTTCTTTCTTTCAGATTCCAGTCTTTGTGCTCACTAAAGCCGTTTCCTTCACTTCACTGATAGGTGAGTTTGCTTTTTAGGCCTAACAGATCACTGTGGAAGGAACCCGAATTTCCCTATTGCACATGAAAAAGATTCAAATCAACTCCAATCACAAGAAATCAAGATTTTGTTTCCAGAAAAACATTTAATCATTAACAGTATTTGTTATTTTTATGGTTTTCACATTTAGTTTCAAACTTAGCATTTATAGAAGATGATTTAAAGTAACCCTATATAGTTTTTTAAACTTTAAGCTAGCGCTTAAACATTGATCTCAGTGATTGTCGAGTTAGAAACTTGACCAGATTCACATTTGACAACATTCAACCCTCTGCTGATCAAAAACCGCACTTAACTGTTTTGTGGAGCGGGTAGGTGTCCTATAGGGGGCACTCTTTGCCTCCTTTGTGGCTGTTAGCTGTTATGCTAGCAGTTAGCTTTTTCAGTTCACTGATTGACAATAAAAAACACAAAAAAGAAAAAGAAGACATTTGCTTTTTTGTTGGCTTCCTGGAGAAACCTAGAAGTAAAAGTAAGAGAGTAATGTCTTTGGAGGTGAAGCAAAGAGCTAAAACCAGAGTGAACATGCAGCCTACATTAGCTTGAGGGAGCTAAAGGCTACAAAATCACAGACTGATGGTGACCTGGCTTTGTTGCTTGCTGGACTAATGTTTTTTGTTCAACAGTCTGGATCTTTTAAATTTGTGGTTTATTTTAGTATTAGCTGACTTGTGTTAGTGTTAGATTGTTGCTAGCTCTAGCTACAGCTGGCTTGTTTATGACAGTTGTAATTCCACTTTCAACCAGTAGGTAGGGCAGAGGAGCAGGAAGCTGCTCTGTGTTAATTCAATTTTACCATAGAATGCTGAAAGGAAGAGAAGCTCCTCACTTATTCATCAGTAAAAGTTAATTTGCTCGCATAGAAAAAAACATTTACATTATAGAGATGAAAACGGTGTTTCTAGAATGCGTGGCTTAAAAACATTAATATTATATTCTCATCTTTTATTCTTCTAGTGACGTGCATGTGGGATTCTCACATTTTATTCTAGCACACTGGTTCCCAAACTGTTTTGCTCACCCACAGAATTACAAAGGCAAATACTTCCAAATTAGCAAAAATAAATAGCAAACCCAAACATCTACAGCTCACATGGCCCCACGTATAAACACATTATTTTTATCTTATGGTGTGACTTTTTTTAACACGTATTTTTTTCTTGATTGCTTTATTTGACTTCTGGAGGAGACCCTAAACTCAGTGTTTCATGATCCGCATGGGAGTCCTGACCCTAAAGTTGGGAACCACTCATTTAGCATAGCAGCATATAGTAAGGGATGTTATCCCTCCATTCCCCGGAGTGGCTGGTTTCAGGTTTAACAGCCCCACAGACGGGAGAGTCACTATGCCTCCTGAGTACCGGAGTAACAGACCTTGGACTTCAAGGCTGCTGCATCTCCCTAATTAATATGCCTAATCTAATAGCTGGTTGTCTCCTGTCTCTTCTGGGAGACTCCACTTGTTCAGAACTTTTCTGAACACTATTTGGCATCCGATCCGACAGTTTAGTTGATCCTAAAAAAACACATCATAGAAATGAAAGAGATGTAAATTTTGCAGAAGTCAGACAATCAAACACAGTTTCTAAGCAAACTGTGACAGGATTGAAGTGGAAGAGAGTGCCTTTAAAACGTCTCCCTCCCCTGACTGACAATGCACGTGTCTGTTGAATAAACAGATAAAATCAGGAACATTTCAGCCGCGAGTATGTGGAAACTCCCAGAGAGCTATTGAAGGAGACAAGGGGCCGGTGTGAGGGTTTGTTCAGAGTCCCGGTGGAGATCTGTGG